GAAATTGTCCGAGATAAACTAAACATCTGCATATAACACTTTTACATTTATAGACAGTAAGGCATTTCATTTACAGTTATGAAGTTTAATCAACAAAGTTATATTCCTTGAGAAAAATGACTTAAAATCCTCAAGATGTTAATTCTTAATAGTTAAGATCAAAATTTCTAAAGCCAGAGTCACGGATCTTTACCATTTACGAACGAACGCACGAACGAATATTCTAATGAGGAATTGCAGTTTACAGTAGAATTGACAGATGATTTACTCAGATCCAACCCGAGAAACCTGAATGCTGAAATTGTCAGTGACACAAGCGAATGCGGGCACACACACGCATACACACACACATACACACACACACGCATATATATATATAAGCGCTGATTTCTCTCTCTTTCTCTCTCTCTCTCTCTATATATATATATATGCATGTGTGTGTGAGTGTGTAAAAATGTATATCTAAAAATTCAAATATAAATAAAATATATGGCTAAAATGATAGTATGAATGACAAGTTTTCCTTGTTTTTATTCACATACACACACACACACACACATATATATATATATATATATATATATATATATATATATATATATATATATATATATAGAGAGAGAGAGAGAGAGAGAAATATATGTATGAAATTGTAATGTAAGATAGTGGTTTTGAGGCAAAACTTAGATTTAAACCTATCATATAATAAAAAAGTAAAAAATAAATATACCTCAGATTCTATGACAAACACTGTCCAAATTCAACCAGAAAGTACAAAATATGAACAGAAATATTAAAAAAAAAACGTAAATATAGCTGCACTGAAAAGATGCTACAAATCATAAAAAATGTGCAGAAAAACACCAGTACATAGTAAGTTCAAGTTTGCACATGAATGTTCACCAAACAGTAACTGCTATAGAACAATGTAATAAACAGTAAGCTACAGTAAAATATAAAAGGAAAACGAGAAAATATAGTGTAATAACACAAGTTCTCTGGAAACACAGAAAGCATTCACATTTTTGTTTCAGAACAGGAACAAAAACTCTTGAAAACAAATGGAACATTTACATCGAGGAAAAATAGCGATAATCTGCTTTGTAGATGAAGATAAACTTCTGAAGCTAAAATAACTGGTTATATCCTAATCAACCAAGACAACAAATTCTTAAAATTCAACCTACAACCATATAATGGCCAGAAAGACTAAATATAATCTCATGATCTCAGTCTAATATACTTCAAATATCAAAATTTAGATTCAAAGTGAAAAAGAATATACAAAACAAATATGTAAATGTAATACATAAATGAATAAACTCATAAATTTAAAATAAAATAAAAGAAAGACTATAAGAAAATGCGTTATCTGATCAGAATGAGAAAAAGTCCCGTGCAGGAAAAATAATGGGGAAAAGACATTAAAAATCTTCATCTGATGCCGCGACTAAAGGACTGATGATTCTCACACTGAATTCATTAATATCTGTTGGATCTGAAATTTAGCCGAGTTCAAATAACACTATTCATATCAAACACTGACGAACGTTTAGGAGCAACCGAGAACATAAAATTTGGGATTTTTTAAACAATAATGTTTACACTGTACAAGGCCAAAGATCCACTCGTGGTAGAGGGTTACAGATGAAGTGGAAGAGTTTATGGGAATGTATGGGGAAGGAAACGGTTAATCCAAAACTTAAACAGGTCAAGACATTAGTGATCGGGGAAGTATCCTTTTGGAAGAGTTTCACAAAGCAGCAGTTCGTAGATAGAATCTGCTAGAGTGGAACATCGCACCAATGAAATACGAAGGGAATGCCAGTGGTTCAGTACACTGTGCATGATTGAGCGGCTCATGGACGTGAAGTTTCCAATTGGCGGAACTAAGGAATGTAGTTCGCCTGAAGACTTTCCATGGAAATGGCGATAGAACAACGAGAGATTTGCAGAGTTTTGTCTGTGGAAAAGGGATTGTAGGGTGGGAAATATTTCTAGACTGGAAAGTAAAGACTGGGCAGCTCCTGCCAATATGTGGCAGCAGTACTCGATTTTTTGACTGATCTGGCTCTTGTAAAGGTAGCATATAGCAGAAGGTATCAGTTACTTACTAGAGCGGTACAGGGAACCGACCGTTTTCCAATATAATTAGTGATGGATCGTATATACGAGTTCCACTTGAGGTCTGGGATGAGCTTAAGTCGCAATAGGAACTTAAGGCACGTCATGTCTCGGAGATACCCGTTCATCACGATAGATTAAAAGTCAGGGTCCGCTCGATAATGATAAAACGTTACCAGTTTGATTTTCGAGGCATTGAATGCGATCAGCCAGCAGAACTGTTAAAGCGAGGTCAAAGGATAGATAAATTGCCAGACGCTGGTCATCTAGAGTTTTGGAGGTGCATTCATATACCGTTGTATCATCAGCATAGATGAAATGATCAAAGGCAAATAAGGCAAATGATTTATGTAAAGTAAAATGAGTTTTGAACCGATAAGCAAAACTTGGGGGAGATCTGCGTTGATCGCCGCTAACACTCACCTTCAGTGTTAGGAAGAACTGTTAAGAAGAACTTGATGAGTGAGAAAATATTTCCTGTGATTCCATAGCTAAAGAGCTTGTGCAGTAACTCTCTATGTCACACATTGTCGAAGGCCTTTGAAATATCTAACGTGATCGTCCTTGAGATGTATTTGTCTAATGCGTTACTGATTCTGTGAGTAATGACAGTTAGGATATCAGCAGTAGCACGTGCCGATCAAAATCCGTGCTGATGTCCTTTAATGTGCTGTTCCTATTGAGGTAGTCGACGACCTTTTGTTGTTGCTTTTCTCTAAATGACACTGAAGGCAACCAATGCGATTTCATCTTCTTAAAATCATAGCCTTGACGCTTTCTTATAGGGTCAAGACTTTGATAAAATGCTTTCATCTGAAACTTACTTTAGGGGACTATAATAAATCTTTGAAACTTACTGAAACGTTTATTGTGTCAAGTAAATAAAGAACATAAATTATACAAGGAATAGTGCTGTCACCAATATTTGTATAATATAAGGAGGGTGCATTAATATTTATTTACTATCTCTCTCTCTCTCTTTATATATATATATATATATATATATATATATATATATATATATATATGTGTGTGTGTGTGTGTGTGTGTGTGTGTGTGTATTTAGAAGCAAGGATTCTTTCAAACAAGTTTTGTGTTGAACAGTGTAGACAATGTCAGTTTTCTAAAATTACGACTAAGTTGTTTTATACAATTGGTAAACGTTTCAATGTTCATTAGTGATTTTTTTAATCTCCGTACTTTCGAATATCACTACACTCGTTATCAAGAATTGTGTTTATAAAAAGAATCACTTAAAAATTCAGTTTGACCATCGTAAATGACGTCATATTTAACTGACTTGGAATAAATTCCAACAAACGAAGGTATGTCTCCGAATGTAATGACGATATTTACATTGAGAAAATACTTTATTGAGAACGATAAACATGTTAAAGTACACGTAGACATGCATGCCAATGTTGACATCTGTAAACAGCATGAAAATGATGGGTTTTTGTAAAATATATTTATATTTATGTTTACGGCATATTACACTAAATAGGACCACAAATTTTGCTGAACTTTGCGATGGCATATTTTGGTAGTCATCCATATTCATAGATGTCACACTATCTTTTAATGTATTTACATCCCAGAAATATTTACCGGACATTATTATTTACTGTAGACATCAGGTTTGTACTCTCTTTTTAAATTGTAATGTAATATTATGTTTCCTAGGCAATGTACTGGAGGTTTATCCCCTTGAAATGATATTTTACGAGTGGTGTGAACAGAGCAGTAGAAATGTTTTGAACTCGTGCCATATTTTCTGATGTGAAGTATAAATTGAAAAGAATCATTAATGTCAATATTGTCATGTAACAAGAGTGAGCTCTTGTGTAGGTCGCGGCAAGATGAACAAAAATATAAAGAAACAAAGTAAACTGATGGATATATAAAAGGAAAATGCAGAGCATATATATATATATATATATATATATATATATATATATATATATATATATATATATAGTTGATGAATCAAAAGTATTGTGTTGTTTTTTTATCATTTCACCCTGCAATGTGTCGATAATGCCATTAAAATGCCATTAAAATGCCAAATACTTTCAAACGCTTTGATATAACTAAAGCTTCGCCGTTCTTATCCAGTTTGACAAGCCCTTTTTAGTTTTAGCCGTTAACACATCGGGGGTTGACCTAGAGAAGCGAAAGCCATGATGTTTGTCTAATAGCGCGAAGTTCGATGCTTAATCGACTCTATTACATTGCCAAAAAAGCGGTAAAACACCAATAGGACGAAATTTCAAAGGAACAGACGGTACACAGGAGTTCTTAAAACAGGAACTGCAGAAGAGGATCTCCAACTAGCTAGGAATCCAGAAGCAGCAAGGTGTTTGTTAGAGAGAGCAGGGGCCAGTTTAGGAGCACCTCTATTTGTTAATATGGAGTATAAAGACAATATTATGTTGTTATTACTTCACTTATAATTTAGTTATCAAATTAGAAATGCCGTATAAAATATTCTATTTTATACGGCATTTCTAATTTGATAACTAAATTTCTTAATCTGTTTGACGAGAAAAGAAGAATATCGAAAACGAGAGCAAAGAGGGATTGATCTTGAAAGGAATACGTCAGTATATTGATAGAAGATAGGTAGCAGGAAATAAACAAAAGGAATCCCATTACGGTAGATGAATCAATAAATATGTTAAGATATATTAATAGTAAGATAGCTTTAAATATGTTTTATATCACCCATTTAATTACAAAGATTCCAAGCATGCAGTCTCTTTCTGTGAAACTGTTCCATCTGCTTGCTCTCTACCAATTAAACCTTACTTCTTTATTCTCTTTTTTCAGAATGTCATCGTTATTTCATTTTTGAGTATTTTTTTCTGTTTTCAAAGATTATCAAATTCACCTGAACGATCTTTCTTTTCATTCTTTGTTCTTCATTTTCTTTATTTATTCCTCCGTTTTTGTATGTTTTCTTTACTTCCTCGTATTTATTATTTCCTTCATTAACAGTTTTCATTCTTTTATTTCTTTCATAGGATCTCCTTTTTTATTAATTCGTATATTTTCCTTCCTATCCTATTTTTATTTATTTCCTCTTTCTTTCATTGCTGTTTCACTTTCCTCCTGCCAATACACAAAGCCTCCATCTGTTTCTAACAATACTTTCCTGTCAAATTTCTGCCTCTTTTCCCCTTCCATTATTGTGTAATGTCTACACTATGTTCCTTCTTTCCAGTCCCATCACTGCTAGATTTGCACTTGCTTTTTGCTTCAATTGGTTTCATAAAACACTGAGAAAACAAGCACAGAACTGTTGCATAATTTTTACCGTCCTATTCACTGTAGCGCATCGCATGGAAAATTGAAATGATTAGGAAACTTATTTTTCCCTTATTTTATATTTACTCTAAATGTTACTTTTACCTCAGATTTACTTCTAAAGTTTCTACATCATTTCTCACTTTTTCTAAGTTTTCATAATTTTCTTCCCGTTATATTTAATTCGTAAATCTGCTTTTCTCCAATTGTGTCCTTTCTAAAGCTTTTACATCCATTCGTAAGTTCTTTTTTTCTTTCCTTTCTTCCTTCTTTTTTTCTCTCTTTCACATATTGTTTCCCATTTTTCTAACAGAATTAATCTCTATAGATATTCAGTTTACTTTTTCTCTGTCTGTCTTATCATTTCTAATTTCCTGATCTATTTTTTTTATTTCCCTCCTTTTTGGATTATGTTTTTCATCCGTATTTCCTTCCTTAATTCCTGCCATTCTTTATCGTTTACTTTTTCATTTTTCCCTTCCTGCATTGCTTCCTTTTTTCATAATTTTATATTTATTTATTTCATTTCTCTTTCTTATGATCTTTTGTATTATTTCTATTGGTCTACTCTGCTTCTCAGCTTCTATGATACAGTTTCCTTTGCTGAAGATTTATATGCATTACTGTTGGCTCATCCTACTGAATTGCTCGGTAGACGATAGAGACCCACAGAATTCAAACGTGTAATAATTTAGGAAACTGCTACGTGAAGGTGGGAATTTGTTACTTTTTTTCCCATTGGCGATCTTCCATTTAAATCTAAGGTCATTGTTATTTGAGCATCTTCCTCAAAACTCCCAACCAGCCACAGATATCAACTCATTTAAGCACCTCAAAGGCTTTGAAATTAGCCATACTATTTAAATATTTATTTTAGGAAACTTCGGATGTTAGTTTATCGATTATAACTTGAATATGACTTGGTGATAGACATTATCGATATAATCTTATACTCATTACTGCTGGTTATGAGAATTCCATTCAAAATTACAACAATAAAAATATAATTATTATTATAGAAAGAACAATTTGCATCTTGATGGACAGTCAATGCAGCATTGCTTTGTCGCTATAACTTGAATGACTTGAAGCTGTGTACTTTCACACAGTCATGCGCTACATGTTTCACAATAAGTGTTTATGAAAAGAATAATAACAGAATTACTATTATTATGTCTTATACAATAATTCAACAACAACAACAACAACAACAACAACAATAATAATAATAATAATAATAATAATAATAATAATAAAAACTCTGCTAAGTAACCATAATTTATTTGGGAAGGACATTAGGATAATCCAGAACCTATACTGGCTGAAAAACACCTGCATACGGGTAGTAAATGAATTCAGTAAATACACAAAAATACAAAGGGATACATTTTCTCATCGGACTCATTCAACCTATACAATGATGCGATTCTGAGAGAATTAGAAGTCCTTAATCTTAACAACATATGTTATACAGGTCACGCACTTCTGATAACAGACATGGAAAGAAGATAACACGAACTCATACAGAAGATAGTGGAGGAAAACAAGAAGAAAGGAGAATTATAAGAAAAAAATGTTAGTAGAAAGAACAGACCAATATGCAAATTATAAATTGAAGATACCAAAATCAAACAAGTACAACAATTTAATATATCTGGGAATTGTTTTAACAGAGAGAGGAAAGTGCGACTTTGAAATCCGAAGGCGCATTGGAATAACGAAAGTTGCCTTCCAAAAGATAAGAAAAATATTATGAAATAAAAAAAGAAAATATCGTTAGAAACAAAGAAAAGAGTACTAAACTGTTGTGTAATATCACTCCTTTTATATAGCAGTGATTGCTGAACAATCTCTTCCCAAATGAAGAAGAGAACTGAAGCAATAGAAATGTAGTCATACAGAAAGATGCTGATATTAACATTGACCGAACACGTGAGCAACGACTATGTTTTAGAGAAAATGGAAACAAAAAGTACACTTATACTTAATATCAGGAATCGATAGTTGAAATTTCTGGAGCACAAGAAGGCTTGTAAAATGTGATATTCACAGGTCAAACTGAAAGCAAGAGGAACAAATGAGAACAACGCATAAGCCATCTAGCAAGCTTGAGTAGATATTTACTCACCCCCCCCCCCACGAGGTCAGGTTGTGACACAAGGTTGGTTTAATGTGTGGAGCCCGAGCTCGTGCACCCGGGCAAAGAACAAAAATTCCCCAAGCCCCCGGAACCGTTGGTTGCGCTGGCCTCGGTGCGAGCACTGATCCCTCCCTCTGGTGCAATGGGAGGGCGCGGCCTCGGGCAGCTGTTCCCCAGGGCTGGGCACCTCTTCAGTATAATTTTCTCAGTTTTGACTCTGTCCTTTGACGGAGTTGCCCCTGAGCGCACTCTGCCCAAAGACAGAGATTCAACTGAGAGATGATAAGTAGATGTGTACCTACACAAAAAGAGTAAGGTTCACACTAGCTTGAGTAAATGGTTGGCGAAACAAGTTTTGGGTGATAGCTAAAAAGGACAGGAAACCTTGGATGCGATGATCGCCAACTTACTGATGGGACACGGCACACAGAAGAGAAAGAAGACACTACACATGGTTCCCAGGACTTCTAATCTTAATTGATTGGAGGTGTACATTCTTCATCTTGGTGAATTAGTATGAGACACTAGAAATATGTTCAGTGCAACAGATATACTTGTCATTTATCTGACCATAATTGATCGGCCATGTAATATCATGGATGATACACTTTACATGTCTGTGCATGAGCGAGAGTAATGGAGGTGGTAGGGCTGCTGGTTATTGAGAGAGTGGTTTCTTTTTCAAGCTTGAAAGAATGAGAAGTTTGAGAATAGGGAGGATTGAAAGAGTGAAAACAATGAAGAAGATAGAAGATAGGGATTGATGTTGCAATTAAATTTTTAAGATTGTACTTACTAGGGAAGCAAAACAACAACAACAACAAAAAAAAAACGGGAGTTCCCCAGGCGGCAAGTGCGAGAAAAGAAACTGCTGGAGTAGAAGTGGCGGTTGCATTTAACTTTTTTAACAGTAAAATGGTGGACCTAGTTGCCAATCTAATAGCATGCTTAAATTCATGTAGTCAGAGCACCAGGAAAAAAAGCTTGTCAAAGCATTTGCCATGAAGATATTTGTCACCAACATGACAATATTTTCAACAATGTTGAGATGACTTGTCAGGATCAATTGCATTACAGATCATTCTCTGGATTTTGTCAAGAATCTCTAGATGTACAAGTGGCAGCTGTATTTAATGCATGGCCATATGGTAGATTTATAAATGTTCAAGATGGATTCTGATGAGAAAAGTTTTCTGACACAACACAGTGAAATATTTTTGCTCGCAGTAGATGAAGCAATTGATTCAGTATATTCACTCAACTTCATGTCAGTGGAAAATGTGAGGCCAAGAAGGAGTACCATGTTGCTCTCCTGGAATTTGGCCTCAGCTATGCTGATGGCAGGCAGGAAATTTTGTCTGTGGTGATTAAATGAAAGCTGTTTTGTTTTACAAACCATTTCTTAGCCTAGTTAACCACTGATTTGAGGTCCTTTTCAAGAGCAATTGTTAGGTGAGAGTAAACCTGGCAACTACTTTTTGATGATGATTTTCTAAGAGTAGATTTAACCATGTCAAAAGACCAAAAGTATAGAACACCAAACCATAATTGATCTAGTGAGACAAGATTGCTAAACTATTACACCATATCAAAGTGCCCATCTTTTGTCTTTGATGCATCATGTGAATGTCAAATTCTCAAAGGCCTTATTACTCATTATGTGTCCAAGAAATTGCAGCTGCAACCTTTTTGATTCTGATTATAAGTTTCTGTTTTTCTTAAAACTTCTTTGTCACTTTGGCACTCCATCCATGTTAATCTCAACATCTTTCTATAGAACCACATTTCCAATGCCTCCTTTTCATCAATCAGGAGACTGTCTAGCATTCACTGCTATATAGGATGATTAATATTACATAGTAGTTCAGCACTTCTTTGTTTCTCACAAAATGTTCCTGTTTCTTAGTACTTTATATATCTTTGGTTATTGCGATGCATATTTGGATTCTGGTGTTACATTTTTTTCATCCTTTAGTAAAAACTTCCATGATTTTTAAATTTATGTACTTGTGCACATCTCCAATTCACAGTTTGCATTTTGGGTTTTTTCTATTACTGATAACAATACATTTTGTCTTCTTGCAAATCCTTTTTTCCCAATTTCCTTTACTAATTTTTCTAGAATGTCCTTGAGTTTTTCTTCTACGTCTGCTTTCAACACAGTATCTTAGAATTATTACCAATTCTTAATGAGATAGTTTTCAGAACACATGAGGGAATTCATAAAACACAATGGAAAAGTAAAGACTGGAACTAACTTTAAGAGGGGCAAAAAGTAGTTATTAGTTGCTCAATTGCCATTAGTTTTTCAGAACAATGACACTGATTAAAAGATTTTGGCTAAACTATTAACATAATGGTTAGAAATGGAGACATTGATATTAACAGTCTGAATTGTTTACAACGATATAAGAATCTAATACAGAATTGAGAAATTTGCAATACTGCACAAAAGAAAAGAATAAAAAGCAGAAGGAAATGAATAACTCTAAAAAGAAATTATTTAAAGATTAATATCATCATGTTTCTTAAATTTTGTAGCAGTTTTAGCAGCCCTTGCATTTTATTTTTATCTCTACAATTTGTTGTGAGCTAAATGAATTTTATTATCCTGTAACATTTATTTCAATTGCAAAATAGCATCTGATTATCAGCAATATTGTTCATTGGCAACATTTACAACTGGAATAATTTAAATGCAAGGTTTTTGCTTTGGAAAATGTAATGTTTTTGTTCACTTCATTAAATAAAATGGATGAATTATAAAGATTTTGTAAAAGTATTTGCTCTCAACACACTCCTTGCTCCTCATAGTATCTATTTGAAAATAATTGAATAAACTGTTTGATATTATTTATAAGTCTTCCTATAACATTGATAATAACACATGGACTACATGAACTTCTATTTAGGGAGTAAGTTGTTTCTATCTCTATGTTTAGTACTAAAATTATAAAAAAAAACACAACAAAATAACAAAATTTTGTTGAATTAATTGCTCAAATGATTAGAGTGTGTGTTTGGCAACTGCATATATTCTTGAAATGTGTGTTATTTCATGATTAGTAGTCTATATATTCAGTTGTTTAAACTAAAATATGTTTCTCAGTGTTCAACAACTATAAAATACTGAACTACTACTGACAATTTTCTGAAATCACAAAAACATT